CAGGGGGAAATGAAAGGGTAGGGGAGTTTAAGGAGAGAAAAAGGTGTGAAGGAGGCATTTTGGAGGGACATAGCAAACATTCTAGGAAAGTGTAGTTGGATCGCTGGGCAATATTTGAAAATACTTATATATGTGAAACTTGTGAACCCAAGGACTTTTTAGACGACGTCTTAATTGGTTTCATGGACCCGGAACCATACTGGAAGTTTCTTTGGGATAATTCTAATTAGGACCTTTAAGAACACAGATGGTAAATACTTGAGACAGGTGACCAGTACCCCTTTCTCTGCCCACCGCTGATGCCCTGGGAGGCCGGTTCCCTCTGAGCCTGGAACAGACCTTCTCAGCCTAGGACGCTAAGCAGCCACATCCAGCTGAGTGTCTCAGGACGAAACGTGTTTTCTATTCTTAGAACAATACCGGAACACAAAACTTACTCATATTCTGACACAATCATCCCACAACTACTAGACACTTTTAATTTGAGCTAACTACTTGAAAAATAAGAACTAAGACTATTTTATTTTTTAATGGTATTGGTTCCCCCTGCCCCAAATATAAAACCATTGCAGAATCCTGGAAAACTTGAAGAGTGAAGCTTGCCACAAAGAAAATTATGCAGAATATTGCAATTCATAAATCACCATGAGTCTTATCTTCATTTGTTTCCTTTGGTTGTTCTCATGAAAACATATGTACGTATGTGTTTATATATGTTTATTTATTCATTCATTTAGTGGAATTTTTTTTCTGAACTGATAAATGCCCGGCACTGTTCTAGGTACTGGGAATAAAGTGGGGAGCAAGTCTGACAAATTTGTTCTTCTCCTGAGTTTGCACTCTAGTGGATACACACACACTTGTACACATACACCCCTGCCCACAAACACTAAGCTATATTTCCATCCTGGACTTTCTCCTAATCGTCCGTGGTGAGGATGTGCTCATGCCATCTTATACTCTCTGAAAGTTTCACTTTTCATCCCGCATTCTATCTCAGCTTGTGACCACATCATGGATGTTGAACCATTGTCCTACAGTTGAACGTTGTGCTTGAGTAGAAACGCTCTTCTCAGTGCTCCAAGGGAGCCACGCGTCTGGCTCCAGCACTTAAATGCGTCCTTTCGGTGCGGGAAGCGCATCACCAGCCAGGATCCCTCCTGCTCTGCTGCCCACGAACCCCAGACCACCTGGACCAGTCGGCTCCTCCGTTCTCACCTCATTCCACGTTCCCCTTGCCTACAACCGCAGACACACCGGTCCTCTCTCTGTCCCTCTGGATGTCCCAGGCTCGTTCTCCTGTTCTTCCTTTGCACTAACCCTACCTGCTGCCCAGAAATCAACCTTCTCCTTCCCCAATGGGGTTGGCTTCTTGTCAATCAGATCTCTGCATAAATGTCAATTCCTCAGGCTGCTTGTCCCTGAAAACTGAACCATCATAAAAAGCCACCAGTTACTCTCTTATCACATTCCCCCATTTAGGTTATGCTATAAAACTCACCAATATTTAACTTCTTGTTGTTAGCTTGTTTTATCTTTCATCCCCGCCCCTGGGATGTAAGCCCCAAGAGGGTGAGAACCTTGGCTGTCTTGTCTGTGGCTCAATCCCACATGTGCCCGGACAGTGTCTAGCTCAGCGTACACTTTCAGAAGCATTTGTTCAATCAGCAAGTGAGGCTTCTGTCTTGGATTTTGAAGGGACATAGCTTGGAAATAGATAACTGTAAAGATTTGTCTGAATATAGGCCAAGTCAAATTATAGCAGAGTAACCAAAAAAGGTAGGTTTTAATATTTTAATAATAAATTATTTTAATAATAAAACTTTTGTTCACATATTTTTTTATAATAAGAGTTTCATATCCACATTAATTCGAAATTAAAGAAGGTAAAAAGAAAACATGTCAAGTTCCATCTAGAAAAACAATGTCCCAGAAGTTTGATGTAATATTTTGGTCGGGGCTCACATCAGGGATGAACATGTATGGGGCACCTTTTCCGGGCAGACTCTGTGATGAGTGTCTCTGCCCACCTGAGAAGCAGCCTGTGACTGTGGGTTGGAGGGAACTTCAAATGTGACCTCATCACAGTTTGTCAGTGTACCGATGGGGAAAATGAGGCTAGAGAGGTTAAGAGAAGTTCACTGAGACGCCCTTGCAGAGATGGAGGAAGTCCCACGTTCTCACTCCTAGTTCTGGGAGCCTTTCACCACTGCCCACCCAGCTTGCCACGATGCTCCCGTCCTCACAAACAATGCGTCCCCTCCAGCGGTTTACTTATGTCTCGAAACCAAAAGGAAAACTCAACCACTAGCAAACACCGCGGGAACTCTACATTTTGATGAAGAGTTGACTCCTTAGTTGGCACCCCGAGTTAGCACCCAGGGAAGGAGGATGCTCTGTCTTGAAGGATAAGGGAACATCACCATGACTTATTTCCCTTAGCATAATACCCTCTGGGTCCACCCGTGTTATCTCAAATGGCACGGTTTCATTCTTCTTCATGGCTGAGTAATATTCCATTTTATGTATGTACCGCCTCTTTTTTATCCAATCATCTATCAGTGGACACTTACGTTGCTTCAATTCCTTGGCTATTGTAAAAAGTGCTGCAATGAACATAGGGGTGCATATAGCTTTTTGAATTAGTGTTTTGGATTTCTTCGGATAAATAACCCAGAAGTGGAATTGCTGAGTTCACTTTGTAAGGTATATAAATGTCTAATCACTATGTTGTACACCTAAAACTAATATAATATTGTGTGTCAACTGTAATTGAAAAATCAATTAAAAACAAAACAAAACACCACTACTGAAGAAGACTAGGTGGCGATTAGAAGATAGATCAGAGCCCGTGTGCCCAGTGGGGCAGGCTGCGCATTCTGTTCTCACTGAGACACTGTCCTCAGTGCTTTAGGGCAGTGCTTCTTAGTGTGTGATTCTGGGACCAGCAGCAGCAGCTCCTGGGAACTTGTTAAACATACAATTTTGGGGACCCCATCCCAGACCTACAGAACTAAAGACTCTAGGTGAGGCCCAGGAACCTGTGTTTTATAAGGTGGACATGTGGTTCTCATGCATGCAACAATTTGAGATGCACTGCTTTAGAGCCTGTTGTCCAGAGTCCAGATGCCCAGGTTCTGTCTCAGCTGCAGCATTGACAAAGCTGTGTGACCTCGGGCAAGTTACTTAACTTATCTGAAGTTCAGTTTCCCTTGTAAAATGAAGAGGACAAAAGTCCCTACCTGAGAGGACTGTTGTGCAGATTAAATGAAGTCCTTCATGAAGGTACTTAGAACAGTGGCTCCAAAGGGCTAGGTAACTGTTTTTATCACTAGTAGGAAGAGCACCGAACAATGTTCGCTAACATTAATAATGCCAATGAAATAATTTTTGAGTATTCATTATCATCCTAACATCTCCAGTCAATGCAGACTTCCTGCTTGGAGAAAAATATATTTTTCAAGGAATTCAAAGTGATTCATGTGGGTTAAATATGGTATGTTAATGTTATATATCTATTTGAAAATTTGAGGGAACAGTATATCTTTGAACATTTAAAAGATAAATACAGTGATTCTCGCTCAGTTCTCTGTTCTCCCTTTTAAAAATATGGGATTAAGGGTTTGAGCGATTTGTCAGGTAACTGGAGACCAGTGAGTGAGTAGGGAGGGTTCTCTTTCTCCTTTCTTCTTCTTCTTTCTAGCTTCTGATGCAAAGTGTCAGTTTTGGGTTATAATAACACGGGGTGTCACAGTCTCTGAGCTAGGGGCAGGGTTTCCTCTGTTGTGGTTCCTGAAGAATCGCATTGGTCTCCCTGGCGAATCCCATTCTGTCCCCGAGGTCACTTCCAGGTGACAGGAGAGAGCTGAGCTGTGGCTGTGGAGCCTCTGGGGTGGGGTCCCTTTGCTCTCAGTCCCTCTGTGGGTTCCCTCCTTCCACTGAGCAATCTCTACACTGTTACAGTTCACGTGGGCTCCTCACCTATTTCCCATCAGTTTCTGTTCAGGAAAAGATACTCATTGTTGGGGGTCAAACACCCCACTGTCCCCTTTCTCTGAAATAGAACAGTTTCAAAGAAGAAAGCAGGTGCCTGAGAAGGAGACGATGAGGATGGTGGAGTGCTTCAACCCTTGATTGAAGTTTTGAGTTAAATAATAACTACAGCAGATGTTCAGTTGTTTCTGCTAAGCAAAAACACAGGCAGAAAAATTTGATATTTTCTTTTTCTTCCTGTTTACCCCAAACGAAAGATAGAGATGAAAAGCTTTACTGGGTGAAGCAGAAATACAGATGACAAGTTGTTATCCAGAAGTTCAGCTCGTCCCATAAATTTCCATCTCTCCCTGCCCTGCACGTGGAAGCCAAGTGCAAATGCCTTAAAAAGATGTTCTAGTTCTAGGCAAAGCTGTTAATTTGGTTTCCTAATTATTTTGTTATAAAATCACATAGTAAGTAGCGAATGTATGGGAAACACATGTTGTTGAAAGCAGTGACACTTACAAGCATCATTGTCTGTGCTGGAAGATTGTCAGTTACCCAGAAAGATTGTTTGGGTGTCTCATGAAGCTTTTGAACACTGTGTGTAGGCAGTTATCACTCAGAGGGATTGACTGAATGGGTGAACATGCTGTATAAATTTGTGCAATTGCTTAACTAAGCAAAAAACTTTTTGTCATTCACAGATAAAAATTTTACTGAAAAGGTAAACATTTTCCCCTCCTCACTGCCCCGTCTTTTTTGTTTCTGGGGCTTTGCTGTTCTTGTGCTCTTGCTTTTCCAAGAGATGGAAAAACGAGCCCCATCAAAAGGACGCAACAGATTCTCATCATGAAATTAACAGACGTGGCCTGATGGGGGAAACCTGCCCGCGACGTGCAGGACGCATATAGTTGTGTGTTTTGGGGCGCTGTGTCTTTGTCTTTCAGTGAATGAAACATGAACCTTTTTGTGTGCTTTTGTTTCCTCCATGAACACCCTTCCCTGTGTCTTTCGCCTGTAAGGCTCAGAATGCCCAGCAGCTCCATGAACGAATCCAGTCGTCGAGTATGGATGCCAAGCTGGAAGCGCTGAAGAACTTGGCCAACCTCTCCCGGGACATCACGTTCGCCCAGGAGTTTATAAATCTGGACGGCATCTCCCTCCTCACCCAGATGGTGGAAAGCGGCACCGAGTAAGCACCTTTGATCCAGATTTCCAATCTGGGCTCTTCTTCCCAGCATTCTGGGAATTTGTCACGTATACTTGCAATTTCTAGTTTTAAAGACCAGAAATTGACTAGGCTCAGAAAAAAAAAAAATGGCTTTCAAGATAATGCTTGGGGAGTGGATTTGCAGTTTAAATATCACTACATCCTCCAACTAGCCAGTATCTAAGACAGGGTGGAATTCCGTAAGATACCTGAAATTTCAGATTTATGAGGAAAATATTAGGTCATTATTTTTAAGGGCTTTTCCAACACTAAAATTATAATTCTATAAAATATAAATCCCTTACATCCCTTGCTTAGCCCTAAGAAAAATTATTTTCCCTGACTTAGTTAAAAAGACAAACAAAAACACACTTAGAATACCTCCTGATAGTCTCAAAGTCTTAAACCAGGTCAAAATAGCATCCCTGAAGTAATATTTGAATATGAAATACATGTTCTTAATTATTTAAAATTAAATACAATAAACATTTACTAAATATCTATTGTATGCAAAAGAGTAGAAGTTGGGAAATTTTAAAAAGTTGTGGGCCTTGTCTTCCAAAACTGTAGGGAGGCAGAATTCGACTGAAGTGTAATCCCTCCTGAGGGCTCTGAATCTAGAGGTTGGGCCAGCTAGGTCCCAGGAGACGTACAGAGTGGGTATCCATGAGTGGCCTTGAAGGAGGTTGAGTGCCATCGTGAGCTTGAAAGGGATGGGCGTTTCTGACCGGGGTGCTCACCTTCTCAGGGGAGTGGTATAGCTCTCACATGTGTGGACAAGTGACTCCCCTGCCCACCGGGTGCCAGGGAAGTGTCCCCAGGAAACCGCTTGTTCCCATGTGGTCAGGTGCCACTGGCATAGACTATTAGAGCCTGTGGGTTAGAGCGTGAGCAGACACTGAGTCACTTAATTGCATTTGAATATGCTAAATCAGGGGTGTGCAGAGTTGAGGTAGATATTTATTAGGAAAGAGTACATATCATTGAGAATTGGGAATTTGGCCTTAAACCTGGGGCATTTAAATCTCTCTTCAGTACCCGGAGATTCGAAGATTGAACTGATAACGGTACATGTTAGAGACCTGTCTCAGCCCACTGCCTTCCTTCCTCCCTTCCCATCTCTGCCCACACTGGGCATTATTTGGCCTTTGCAGTTGGCCCTGGAGAAAAATTCTTTTTTTTTCTTGTTCAAAGAAAGGATATTTTATAACAGCAGGAATATCTCCCATACAAGAATGTTTTGTAGAGTTTGGAGTCGGGGGGTGGGGGGAGGGAGTCTTACCTCATAGACAAGTAGAGGAAATATCTAAGAGTGAATAGGGGGAAAACATCAAATCTAAGATGATCGGTAAGCAGGCGTGGGTGTCTAGAAAGGGTCAGTTATGGGCAGGGATCGTTTATTTTTTGGAATGATGACTAAAACTCTGCTCGCTCATGAAATTTTGAGCGAACGTCACCTTGAACTGGGGCAGGGAAACTCAAATTCTGGGTGCTTTCAGAATCCAAAGTAGTTGCTATAAATTGGAGTTGGAGCTTGAAAAAGCTCGAGGGAAGTTGAGTCCCAAATGGCTTGACCAAGGAAAAGGGGAAAGAAGGTTCTGTCTGTGTCGGAAGCTCCCGGCTGAAGTCCAGTGTGGGGTGTGTTAGAGCCCGCCTTCCTTGTTACTGGTGAGCAGGGGAGTGTGAGCTCTGATGACGAACACCTTCACCGGTGACTGTGGGTGACTTCCTGGGATTCCCACACATGGTTGGCCTTGCCCAGCACCCACCACTGCTTCTGGCCAGACACGGAGACCTACGGGGCTCTATCTCAGTCACATTTACAACGTGCAAAATGAAAAGGTGACAATGTTCCCACATCATTGATGTATCAAAAGCAATGTACAAGAGCCAGTTGTAAAGTAACCTGCTAAAATTAAGTGGTTCTGCCACAGGTACCTCGGTACCCAGGGCTGAAGCTTTGGCATATCCAGGATAACAGTGTATTAAAACTTCCAGACTTACCAGAATTGCAATCGTGACTATGATTACACTAGTAAATACACTGAAAGCAGGGGTCCGTGTGCTCTGCACCCTGAATAGAAGGCTAGGGCAGGGCTCTAGCACCTCTGGAGGCTGGCAGCTGTGTACCTTGACAATGAGGAAGAACGCATGCTAGGAGCTTCAGTGTGTCGCTCCTCATTATGTCTGTTCACTAGGGATGCCATAACAAAAGACAGCAGGCTGGGTAGCTTCAGTGGAAATGATTGTCTCACAGCGCTGGAGGCTGGAATCACGGTGTCAGCAGGTGGCTTTTTTCTTGGTTCTCTCTCCTTGATTTGCAGATGGCCACTTTCCCTCTGTGTCGTCACAGGGTCTTCCCTCTGTGTGCAGGCATCCTTAGTCGCTGTGTGTGTTCAAATTTCCTCTTCTTGTAAGGACACCAGTCAGAGTGGATTAGGACACACCCTAATGGTCTCATTTTAACTTAATCACCTCTTCTTTAAAGGCTATATCTCCAAATACTACCCCTTTCTGAGGTACTGGGGGTTGGGGATTCAATGTATGGATTTTGGGGGGAACATGATTCAACCCATAACACTCATCAAAGGGACACTACCACTTTGGCTTAAAACGAGAAAGAGTAAAAACTGATACTATGTATTTGTCTTGTCAACATTATCGCTTTTTACCTGGGCTTTACCCTATAACTCACCTTGACCTGGAACATGGCCCAAACGAGCCCTGTCCCTCAGATGGAGACTAGCGACCACATGAGAGAATGTCAATACTGAATGACTTTATGTGAGCCACAGTAATTGAATTCTTTTTTTTTTAAAAAGTATATTATACTCAACATAATACTTAATAATCTGTAATTCATAAGCCATCCCAATTTGTTACCCACAGCCAGATTTTAGGCAGATGAACAGGCCTCACGGCCTGACTTGAGGTGAGCTCTGTTTTGCATCTGCCTCTTACCCTTTCCCATCCACGCTGTCTTACGGGACAGCCATGGTTTCTCTCTGGGTCACCTTCTGTGCCCTCCTCGCCATTGTACAGAAGTTCAAAGTCATGCTGCTTTGGGGGAAGGAGGAAGGAAGGACTGGAGCTACTCAGCCTTCTGCCTTCCTTCGCTGGATTCTGCAACTTTCCTAAGAAGCTGCTCATTTGATCCCCAGCTATTGGTTTTTTTGTTTTTGTTTTTTTTCAGATCTTTTACTCATATTGAAAACAAAAGAGGAAGACATTTTTCTTATAAGGAAGCCTGGCTTCTTAATTAGACTTAGAGCAAGAGTTTAATTAATGAACAGGAAACGTTTGGAATAGAAATACACCAATGGAATAGGTCCTGCGATTTGGAAGGCATTTAGCCATGACCCTGGGCAGACCTCCAGCTGGGACAGGCAGAGGTTTCTAAGCAGGACCTATGGAAAGTTTAGGAAACACTGAAGAAGTGTAGCTGGAATTTGCTCCTTACTTTGAGCTCTAATGAGATTCAAAGATGACTGGGCTTCTTGTCATTACCCAAGGCTGAGCTTTTGAAGTGTCTCTCCAATGGGTACCAGGAGGGGCCGTGGGGCAAAATGGGCGACAAAGGACCAATGGGGAAGTGTCACCTTGGCAGAGCCCAGTGTTTAAAACCTGAATTTAATTTTTTGGTCCTGGTGGAATTTGGAAGTTGCGTTTCTAGTTTTAGCTTGAAAGGATGTGTGGAAGCAAATAAAGTTGTGGGGGAATTACGTGGCCCCAACCTGAGCAAAGGAATGGTGTCTGGTAGAGGACATTAAGGAATGGACAATGTTTAAAAAAATGCATGTTAAGAGATTTCTCAGAAATGATAGATTTTATTGTATTTGAATGAAAAAACACCACCACAAGAAAACGGTGCCTGCAGCTCCACATCCCACATAGCTTTTCTTCCTGTTTGAGTCAAAGACTGTGTCTGTGGCTCCGCCTCTGCGCACACAGACAATTAGACAGTTTAGCCTGTGTCCCTCCAGTCAGAGGAACAGGGGAACGTTTCCAAGAATGAAAGACCAGCATCTTTAGTGTTCCCTTCCCACTTGGCAAAATTACACCGTTGGCATATGAGTAAGCTGTTAGCACCACCCTGGGCAGAAAATTTAAGAATGAAAGGAGTTAACTTTGTGTATTTATCAAGAACTCAGTTCTTTTATTTTCAATTAGCTTTTCATCCTTAGTGCAAGAAAACATCATACTTATTGTTTAAAACATGAATCTGAAAAAGCAGGAGCAAGAAAATAAGAATCGTGTATAATCCGCTTTTCCAGACAAACATTTTTAACATTGTGGTGTATCGTTTTTGTGTATTCTTTTGGATACACAGACACTTGCACAGTCTTTACAAAGGTAGAATTATAATATTCATGTTCTTTGTAGCCTGCTTTTTATACGTAACAATATTTTTCTGTAATTCAGTATTCCCCTCATCATTTTTGTCTGCATGTTATTTCATTTTAAAAGTTTTGCTAAAGTTCAGATGATACACAGTATGACATAATCATTTGAAGGATGTGGCCAGATTAGTCAACCATCCCTCTGTTCTGGGACGTTTACAGTGTTTTCAGGTTTTTTTCCTGCTTATGCGCGTTCTCTAATCAGCCCTCCTTTTAGCAAAATCTTTGTGAAAATTTTAATTATTTTGTTGGGATACAATTCTTGACTCAGAGAATGTACACATTGCAAAGCTGTACACATTTCACAGCTTGCTGAAATGTGCTAATTTACTTTTGACCATTTGTGTACGAGTATGTCTGTTTCTAACACCCTGGCCCTACCAGGCTGGTGTTCCGTTAGGGATTCTAGCTTTTCTAAGAAAAACAGCAGTAGGCCATTTGAGGAGTTGTCACTAATCTGGGGAATACACAAGTACTTTTTATTTGCCTGGCTGAAGTCATTGCTCCAAAATTGGGCTGTATTAGGAACAGTGGAAAGAGTCTCACAGTTATTTAGACATATGCAAAGCCCCTTAAGTCATTGTCTTAAAAACAAACAACATTTGTTGTTTGATCAATCGTATAAATTACTAGTTCCCTCCCCATTCCGTCACACATATGACGCAGAAGAGGGTGTTGTGCTGTGTGTGTGTGTAGTTAAAATGGTTGTCATTATTCACTAACACTCGAACGGTTTCATAGTACATGTTCGTTATTCAAATCGTGTTCTCCTGGCCGGAATCAGGACGGCGGCTATTTCTTAAAAGCTGTAAAAATTGAGGTATGACTTGAATGAAGCACCCTGCATGATGCCTTGACTTTGCTGCTGCCTGGTACACACACTTGAGGATGGATTTGTAGGTTGTGTTCATTTAGCAAAGCGTGTATCATTTGAGTGCTGTGTTAGGCATAGGGGAGAGGTGTATGGAAAAATACAAAGTTGCCGATGACAACCTCAGACTATGTGGGACATTTTTTGAAAATTTGCCTTCGCATGAAAGATGAATTTGTTTTTTGAAAGTAACTTTGGTAACCTCCAAGGACACGGATTATCAGCTCTAGCTCCTGCTGCGGCTTCTGAGAATCCGGTGTCTCTTATAAGCCTGGGCTGTTGTGGAAGGGCCAGGCCAAATTGATCCGGACTCACCGCCAAGCCACTCAGTGCAGGTCACACCGTGCACACACCCTGCCCTTCACCTTGGAGGAGCTCCCCAGACTGTGTGATCTGTGGGCCCTGGCTGTGCCGGCTGCTGCGTCTCCCCAGCTCCCTCTGCCTGTTTCTGGGGCTTGCAGCCCTTCTGGGGCCCTGCCAGATATTTGCATCACAAGCGCCAAAGGGGCCCACCATCTTGGGCTTTGTCAGGGGCTGTGGGGCAGAACATTCCTTCAAGGGCATCCCCCTTCACCCCACTGCTCTTTGCTTTGTCTCCCTGTCTTTGCCCATCACTCTGGTAATGGAAATGAGAGGGGGTCAACACAGCCTGATTAAAGAGATTATCATCTGCTAGGGAGAAGAATGCCGTACCTCGGGCTGAAACGAGAGGCTTGTGGGCCACTCATCAGCCTTCCCAGAATCATTTGTTCTCCTGGCCAGGTTCCTTTTAAAAAATGGGTATTTTGAGAGATGCAGGGGGCAAAAGCCTCAGGAAAACAGACATCACAACAAAACGTCCTTCTCCTGCTTAGGCTCACTCTGACGTTGAGAAGCAAGAAGCACTGTGACCCATGACTCTGCACTGACTTTATCTCTGAACGCTGGTCAAGGAGAACTTTCCAAGGTCAGGCAGGGTCTGCCACAGGAGGTGGAGCACACAAAAACCCCAAGATGCCCAGGCCCAGGCCAGAAGGCTATTTTGAAAAATTGCAGTGATGCTTTATATGTCACACAAACACACATACACACGCTCCACAGGACAGTTTTGTTTGAAACAGTTCTGTTCAAAGATAAACTGAGGCATATTAAAATTGTAAAGAATTTATTCAAACAAAAATTGGTTAGAATCAGTCAGTGCCAAACTGCAAGTGGTTAGGGACTCTCTGCTCACTGGAGGCAGGGAAAGACTATTCTAGAGAAGAGGCGGAAGCAAAACAAGGACATTATTTGATTGGCTGTCGTTAAAGCCCAGCAGCTGTTTACGATTGGCTAAAACCTTGAGTCATCTACACGCTTAGATTTGGGTTTGCTTACATAGACCACCAAGGCATTAGGGCCACCTCAGTCTGCTGGTCTTGTTTGATTAAACAGTTACACATTTAATGGAAAGGTTACATGATCATGATTCACCTGTTATCCCAGTTATGCGTTTTAATGCAAAGATCTCACTCCAGGTAGCACCTTGCACCCAGTTGTCCTGTCTTTTTCTATCTCTTTCAACCTGAAACTATTCCTTAGTTGTTCCTTTTCTGTCATGACTTTGGTACTTTTAAAAGAATATGGGTTGGCCATGTTGTAGGATATCCTCCAATGTGGGTTTGTTAAAAAGTAATTCGTTAAAGGTAATTTTCAGGGAGTGATAAAAGCATGATTTTTAAGCAGATATAAAATGAACCCATGTTAAAAGAATTCATTTTACTCATGATCTGAGACAACCCAGGCACAATGTTTTAACCATTTCAAAGGAATTGTCAAAAGGGCACAAATTTATTTGGAGCCAAGGAATGTTGAAATGAATTGCAAGTGGAGACAAAACTGGTTTTTTACCTGCAGGAAGTCAATTAAATTACTAACAGACAGGACAAAATATACATATCTATCAGTTAGACAATAAGGCTGGAATCTGATACCCATAATAGTATGCCACATAAACATTGTATAATTTTCCATTGAAACACAATTTTTTTTCCTACAGTGTTATCCGATGTTGTCTCCTTTTAGACTCATATGTCTTTGGCTGGGATGTCACAGATGCTTGTGATGTCCCATTGCATCTTATTGATGACACATGATGTCTCTTTGTCTTATTAATGGTGTTGTCAACTGGCCAAAAAAATAACTCTCCAGAAAATACCCCAAAAGAGCAGTTTATTTTGGAAAAGAGAAAAGAAACGAGGTCACCCCAGGATTGTATGAATGCACTCTTGCCTGCCCGTGTTCCAACCAGCCGCCCACGTGTAAAAGCTGATCTTATGGTCAGCTAGATTTCTGAAGTGGATACATTTTATGTCATTGAAAATGTGAAGCTTAACTTTTTCTGAAGAGCCACATAATTCATCCCTATTTATTGAGTTACTTACTCTGTCTGTGCTTGCTGTTATAGTCGTGAGGCACAGTGCAGAGTCCCTGCTTTTAAGGAGCTGGAAGGACAGTGAGATGTCCTAAGTCATACAGCTGACGTGTCCTCGGCACATACAGACAAAGGCGCCACCCTCAGTCTGGTCAGCGAAGGGAAATCAGAGGTCGGGGGGCCTGCCAGAGGATCCTAGAATCCAGTGAGTTTAGAGTAGGAATTAGTTAGTTGGACAAGGAGGGGTAGGGTATTCAATACAGAGGGAAGAACATACCTAACGCCAGAGAGATTTGGCAGACTTGGGGAATGAAAAATGGTTCAGTAAGGTTAGCATCGCTTGTTTTCTTATCTTCTTGACTCTGGTAGTTTAGGAAGCATAATTGTTCTTTCTTGCAGGTAAGATTTGTCTATTGAACAGGTTTTTTTGCAGGTTACCATCCCAGGGTTCCATCTATTGTCCGAGACTATTGCAATGCCTTATGATATCTTCCTTCAGATTACCCAAGAAAGATAACTATGTCTTCCTTGTTGCGCATATACTTAAGAACAACCGGTCTAGTACTCTTTGGCTCCACTTTTTTCATTGAAAATATACCCGTTCTTATCTCTAGGGATGTTCCCTCATTGAACATATACCCGTTCTGAGTCAGAAGGAGTGCTCTTGTCACCTTTACTCATAAGTAAATGCAGGAGGTTGGTTACAGCAGTTTAACCCTTGTCTTTTGGTTGCTTCTTATCATGAGAGAACAACAATTTATTACTTTGAACAATGTTTTGAAATGAACAAAGTTTCTTTACTTCATGGCAGTTAAATCTTCCCTATATTTAATCCTGAGCTTTATTCACGACATGTACTTTGTGTAAAAAATCCTTGCTTCAAATATGTCACTTACATGATTTTCCTTGAATTTTGCAGCCGATACCAGAAATTGCAGAAGATCATGAAGCCTTGGTAAGAACTCATAACCCTTCCTCTCTACATAATTAAACCCTGTCCTCTGACTATATAACTGTGCATATAGATGTTTCGATTAAGTGATTTTTTATTTTATTTTTTTGCTTGCTGTTTGATGTTCTTATAAACAGCTTCTTTAAAAATGTATTTCTCTTTTCTTTCTGCTTTGGGGCGGAATGGGGTATTTTATGTTTGTAACCACAAAATGAGCCCGTCAGGATTGCTACCCTTCTAGAGCAAGCTAGGCATAATTTTATGTATTATATTCAACAGAAACTTTCTTTTTTTGTGGCCTCTGTGATGTTGAAAGTCAAAAGCCTTTGATTTTCTTCAATGGCTCAGTAAGAAAAAGCCCCACATTAAAAAAATATATTCAGGATTGAAGTATGGAATGAAAATTATTTACTTTGAGTCTGAGAAAGTACTCAGTCACCTCTTTTAAGTGTATTACAATGATAATTGTGTCTAGAGATCTAGAGATCTCAGAACTTCCTTCTTAGTTTTTCCTCCTCAGTGCCTTTCTTATCCACTAAACTAGGTAAGCCCAAATAGGGCCCAACAGAGCCTCTATAGCAGTAGGCTGAACAAATTTCCATTTTGCTCAGTTGTTAAGCAGGTAATTTCAGTTTGAGAAGGAAGGCCGAACAGCATCTGAACATGCACACCTTATTCCTTAAGCCTTCCAGGGAAATCCGGATCATTCTCAGTGTTTGATGCTTCCCCTACCCCTCCCACAGAGAAACATGTTAGTTGCAGGAAGTTTTTAGTTATTCATTGTAATAGAGCATAGAAAGCAATCTTGAGTTTTTAGGATAAGGCTTCTTAAATCTCATTTGATGTATATTTTTAATATGATAGAAGCATTTCATGGCAGTAGAAGCTACCTTTTATGAGTTTGCTCTGTCCTGGGTACTGTCTCAATATTTTCACTCATAACTCCTAATTCACACTTCTATCCATCACACAAGATTAGTAAAACTAGCACCATTTCCTTCATGCAGAAGTTAAAATCAGGTGGTAGAGGTGGGACTCAAACAGTTGTTTTTTTTTCCTCCAACAACATCATACAGCTTGCTAATGTAGAGGAATTTTGGGCTCTGAAGCCAAAATGATATCTTAAAATTTATCTGCCAATAGTTTTATTCTTTAGGTAAATAAGGATGTTCGAAGTGCGACTATGTGTGAACCATGATTTCACTTGATCAATCACAGACGAAATCAATGTTCAGGGCCCTGGTTCCTATAATGACATAGTAGCTTCTTCAGATTAAGTTTTGAGGCCACTATCACCCCGATGGCAAAACCCGACAAGGACAATACAGGAAATAAAAATTGTAGATCATCAGGTGAACAGAGTGGCAAAAATTCCCCAGCAATGTATCAACAAATGTAATCTAACAGCATATATAAAAGGATAATACTTTGTGGCCAACAAAGGTTTATTCCAGAAATGGTCTGAAAATCAGTCACTGTGATTCAGCATTTAGCAAAACAGGGAGAAAACCCAAGGAGAAAAATCATCTTAATAGATACAGAAAACAGATCCTAGATACAGAAAAAGCATTTCATAAAGTCCAACACCAACAACCTAGAAAATGAAAATTTTAAATTTCCATTTAAAAAGTCAAAACATCATAAAATCTTAGGGAGAAATTTAACAGGAAACATGCAATACCTGTTCACTGAAAAATAAATACATTGCTGAAAAAAATTAAAGACCTAAAAAAGTGGAGACTGTACCATTTTGTGGTTTGGAAGCTACAATATTGTTAAGATAGCAATTCTCCCCAAATTAATCTGTAGCTTCAATGTAATACAGTTAAAGAAATTACAAGCCAATTCTAAAACTTAAAGGAAATGCATAGGACCTAGAATAGCCAAAACAGCCTTGAAAAAAAACAACAGAGATCAACAAAGTTGGAGGATTTCATTAACTGACTTGAAGGCTTACTTCAAGTATATGTTGTCAGGGAATAGACAGGTCAACAGAATAAAATAAAGAGCACAGAATTGATCCACAGTTAAATGTTCAACAAAGGAGCCAAAAGAATGTTTGCTGACATAAGTCATGCTATTATTCTGAAGGCTAAAGCAATGTCCAAAGGGTGTTTTAGAAATCCATACATTTTGCCACAAACAAAAGAAAATACAGTTAAGTTGATAAGTTCTTGGAGCTGTGACAAAACATTGTAGAAGGAAACCAATTTTTTGTTAGTTGCTTTAAACAAGAGTTAAGTTCCTGTGGCATCTCATCAAAATAACGTTGAACTAAATGACATTACTTGAGGACGTACTATATGTGAAAAACACAAAGGGTGGGGCAGAGCTATATTAATACTGGCAATTAAGGGCGTATTCAGCATGATAGATTGATAGCTTTAAAAGTGGCCTTTATTTTCACCTGTCCCTTACTTCCGTTTTGGGCATGGCATCCAATGGAAACATTTGGAAGCACTATTCTTTTATAAAATTAGCAGCACATATTTCCATGCTTTGAGATAAGCTGCAATATATTGAAATGAAGATGGTCTCTACTGAGTTGATGAGAAACATTTATTTGAATCATTCCAGCACACATGGTGTGTTGGCTCTGATACATGCTCTCAACCAGCATATAAAGTTTGCAGTTGGCTTAATTTGTAGCAGTGAGTACAAAATCTTCAGGTTAACCCTTGATTAAAAAAAATAAATAAATCAAACAAATAGAAATGCTCCCTCATGTGCCATGGGTGGCTTTATATGTGGAATTCGTTAGCCTTGATCTTCTGCACCCAGCACTGGGGTCAGAGACAGGGCCTTGGTTCCTGCCTTCCTTCTTCGGAGCCTGAAGCGCCTCTCCCTAATAGTGGAAGTAAACATCTTTGTCTGCGTTTGAGAAGAGCTTGTATAGTGGCTTCATTTGACATGGGGTGATAGAGTCCCTTGATTTGGGATGCAATAAAATGTTAGCATGGCCATCCTTTCCTTGCAACTCGGGGTTTGAAGTTGAATTTGGAAAAAGTTCTCCCTCATGGAAACCTGTATACCATCCAGCAACCAGGCATAAGGAATTATATATGGTATCTATACAGTATATGTAGTGTATTATACAATATGTATATTATAGATTTAATAATGTATAATAGAACATACATGCATAATAAGTCTAGTAACATATTTAGATATCATAATATATAATATATCTATATAATATATAACACAATTATATATTAAAATATATATAAAATGGTATATAATGTTTATATAAAATATGAATATAAATCATGTAACATTTCTATAAAGCGTTATTGGATGGACCATGAAAGCCACCCTTCCTTTGGCGCTTTGGTGTGTGAGATGAAGTAGCTTTTCTCTCACTTACAGACCATCCACACTGCAAACCACAGAGAGCCCTCGCTCGGAGGTGGCATTCCGCCTCCTTCCCCACCGTGGGGATGGAAACCCTGGCCCCGAAAGCACCTTGGAGATTTGGAAACCAAACGATTCTCTTTCCCTTTCCCTCCATCTTTTCCCCAAGGCCCCTGCAGCCTGTTTGAAGGGTCAGTAGGCAGAGTTCTGGGACATTTGGGGGAAGAGGGGACATCCCCGGATGTCACTAAGGTCACATGGATTATGGGCCCATTGAGCGGGGAGCAGAGTCATTTTGCCTTCAGATAATTAGGGAGCATAAATATAATGTACCTTTTGCTTTGAATGCCATTAATGAAGGCTGCTGTCAGCCCTATTCCCAGGCTCCGCTGGCTATCGGGAATGTAAAGAAGAGTTGGATTCCCACAGTGCATGTATTCCTTTGTCACTGGCTGTTCCATTCCTTCTGTTAGTGATGACATTGAGGCAGTTTTTTGGCACCATGCGGAGGCCATGGGCTGCCGTCCTCCAGTCACATCTGTGGGGCTCTTTTAGCAGTTGAGGCCTTTTAGCATGCCAGGTGTAAGCAAATGGCAGCTAGGAGTTATCATGTGGTTGCCGTTTTTCCTCGTTTTAAGTTAAACTATTTAGCTAACATTAGTCATTACTAATAAAATAATTAGCTAATATTTACTACTAATGCTATCCTTTATTATATAATAATATTTCCACAGTACTACTAATGCTAATAATCTATTAATAGATCTTGCTAATTGCTTTTATTACCTGACTCTCTTATTTTCCTGAGGCAATTTCCTTTCAGTTTTTACAATCTTATGGTTAGATTTCCTTGTGATTCATTGCCTATAGAAAGAGTCATTTTGGAATTTTAATCTGGAATTCCTATTTGGAATTCTTGCTACTCTTTTTAACCATTTTTTCAACTTTCTCCCTTTTTTTTTTGTTTTTTTTTTTTTTGTTCTCTCTTTAAAGCAAGTTTGAGTTTTCTGTTTGGAATTTCTTTTTTGGGGCATGATCCTCTGATGCCACCTAGGGGGCACCTGTAATATTGGGGTTGCCCATCTGTGACTCAGAAATGTCTTTTTAAAAAAAGTATTTGCTGCTTAAAAAAGGTATCTAGCTTGAATGGTTTGGCTTTCCTTGCAAATATTTTTTTCTAGCTCTAAGGACAGATAATTCTTGACACATGAAGGCAAATATTTGAAAATCACAGGCTTTGCTCACCTTTATAAAGTGCTTTATAAAGTATGATAAAGTAAGCTAACACTTACATGCCACAGAGTTCAAAAGGCTTTACATATAGTGACTCATTTTATTTCCCCAACAGTCCTCTGAGTTAGGTCCTATCACCACCACTATCATCGTTGTCATCCCCGTTTTTAATAAATGAGGAAACTGAGGCATAGAGTGCATCAGTAACTCTCCCACTTAGAGCTGGAGGGGGACCCTCAGCCGTGTGACTCAGAAACCATCTGCTTAACTGTTTCTTTTCTTTTCTTTTTTTTAAATTGGGGAATTGGGGAAGGGGAACAGTGTTGGGGAATCAGGGAAGGGAATCTTAGTTGTGGAGGGCGCCATTCGCCATCTGGCTGCCCGTTGGCAGCTTGTGGCCTCTAAGCTCAAGGTGCTGTGTTACAATCTTAGTTGCGGGTGTGCGTGGGAGTCAAACCAGCAGCCTTTTTGTTAAGAGCACACGCTCTATCCACTGAGTCATCCGGGTGGCAGCTCAGCTCAAGGTGTCCAGTTCAGTCTTAGTTGCAGGGTGGGCGTAGCCCACCATCGAACAGGCTATCTTGTTGTTACACCAGCTGAGCCATCCTGCCACCTGTTGGCAGCTCAGCAGCAGCTTAACTCAGGCGCAGCATCACTGGCCCATGTGGGAATTGAACCGGTGGCCCTGTTGCTCAGAGCTTGTGCTCTTAAGCTAGCTCTTAATCAACTGAGCTACTCGGCCAGCCCCCGCTTAACTGTTTGTCTGTTGCATGTCATCCCTTTGGCCCCCGGCAGTGTTGGGTTGCAGAGTTGAGTTGCGGTCCTTTGCAGAGAGCCTCGTCCTCTTTCCCAGGTGTCTCCCCAGCACCCCAGCTCCGGCGGTGATGCAGGACCCCCAGGGTTGGTATTGAGGCTGGGCTGAGAACACGAGGAAGAAGGGAAATTGCAGAGCTGTTTTAAGAGAAACACAAGCCTGTTTTCTGTTCTATTAATTAAAAATAGATGGGGAGATTCAATTGAAACATTTTATGAGACTTTAGTGTAGCAATTGTGGTATCTCTGAGTCGACAGATGAAGAATCTGAACAACCGGCTTCATGTTTAACAAATCAAGCATGTGAATCCATGCAATTGTATGCAGTGTAGAAACCCTGATGGGCGTAATTCAATGTACTTGAAGAGAGAGTACTTATCTTGAGAGTTTTAAGTTCATACTTATTACGATGAAAATGTAAAATAGTGGTGAGTGTCTGTAAAAGACTCTGAGTGTCTGGTAAAGTGTTGTTTTGAAGGCACCAGAAACCTCGATATTGGCTGATAAGGGACATGGGTGCAGCTGCTTTTGCGGGAGCTTTCTTGGTCTCTGTTTGGGTTTGTTTCTAAGGCACACATTAGACCCTCCCCACAGCCTCTGAATCACAGCAAATCTATTGGCAGCCAACAGTTGTTATCTCCACAGATATTCTATAAAGCCTATTAACTAAAGATAAAGTGCTGGCCAGTGTAACATAGGAATGAATATGCTTGCATATCTATTTGTGTCATAAGTTTGTATGTATATGTACACTTGCCCAGACACACACACACACACACACACACACACGCGCGCGCGCGCGCCGCACACGCACACAGGCACACAGGCATATAGATACCACACAGATCCTTTGCAAGTGCTAATACTCTTAAGAGAATTATTTCTCATCTTCCCTATTGGCTACCCATGGATAATAAAAGAAGCACACTGCCCTTTCTCAGTCGCCCTAACTTTCATTTGCTGAGAAGCTTTTCTTTAAGCTCTGATTACAGAATACTCATATGCTACACACTTCAGGAAGAGTTCTACAAGCAGCCCTGTGGCTAAATAGCTATCACTATCCAGTTTTTCTGCTGAGAAGACAGAGGAGGGAGGTTAGTGAACTTCCCAGTAGGACACAGCTCACCAGAGTGAGTCAGCGTGAGCCCAGGTGTGTCCCACGGAGGCCCCGGCTCACCTCTGAGAAGCCTCCTGCCAGTTGACTCATGTCTGTGAGGCCATTGTCCGCGGCCCAGCTGCGTATCCCAACCATCTCTTACAATTCCGCTCGTGCTTACTTTTCTAAAGCTTTGTCGCTTCTGTGTCTCCCTTTGTGCTTGCATCTTGGGCCCCTGACCACTGTGCCTCCCTGTGTTTTCCAGCTTTGGAGACATGCTGTCTTGCACCCTGACTGCCTTCGTTGAGCTGATGGACCACGGAATAGTGTCCTGGGATACGTTTTCAGTGGCATTCATCAAGAAGGTAACGCCGATTATGCTTCCCTGGGCTTAAATCCCTTCCTTCCTTCATAGCTATTTTCCTCTGCTTTGAATATATCTTATAGTTTATGAAAATTAGTTCTTTGTGTTAAAAGGTGAGTGGGGCTTTTGAAAGTATTATGTATATAGGGGTCAGGGCACCTCAATTTTATGTGAAAATGATATTGTCTTGCCACTGGAACTATAAGGGATTGAACGAGGTAGCTCATAGTCAAAAAGAATCAAGGTGTCATGTTGTTAAAACCATAGCAGTGTCTGCTGAGACCTATACAGGACTCGATTGTTCTCAACACCTAAGGTGAGTTCCTGCTGCCCTCGCTGAACCTCCTACGTTCAACCCAGGGTCCAGGGGAAGGGAAAGAGGCCAAGTATACTGATTTCCTATGTGCCTGGGTCGGAAGCAGGGCCATGGGAGAAGGCGTGCCTGGGTTCATGTCACTTTGGCACAGTAAGCCTGCTTACCTGTAATCAAGGTGGAATAAACGTCTCTGGGATCGACTAGTTTGATCAGTTCCTTCTTCTGTAGGAGGAAGCTAATAAAGGATGGGCAAAGGTGAGTTGTAATAAAGATGCATCTGCAAACGTACCATTCTTTTTCCAGTCTTCTAATAAAAAAATAAGTAGCCCTGATTTTAGAACTATTACATGTCATATTAGCTCATGGGTTATTATTATTTATATTCATTTGTTAGCTTATTTTTCCTCTCTTTGTATTTGTGAAATGGTTTATACATGTATTGGCGTTGTTTTTCCCCCCATTGTTGTATTGGAAATGAAGAGATGCTAGGACTTTATAACTTTATTTTCTAAGTATAGGTTCCTGGGAAGGGTTACCTAAAATAAAGAATTTCAGAGAATCTGTGCAAAAACTGGAAAATCAAAGCAAAACCAGTAAGAGCCACTTGAATTTTTGAAACCTTTTATTTTGAGATCATGGTAGACTTCCCAGAAAAGTTGCAAAAAACGGTACAGAGTGTTCCCATACGCCCTTCCTCCAGCTTGTCCTAACGTAAACATTTTGCGTAATGACAGGGCAGTGATCACAACTAAGAAGTGAACAGTGGTGCAGTACTATTCCCATTACCCCACCAGTTTTTCTACTAATGTCCTTTGTACAAGGACACAGTCCAGGACCCCACACTGCATTTAGTTGTCATGTCTTCTTAGTGCCTTCCAATCTGGCAGATCCTTACTTTTTCTTCGTCTTTCCTGACTTTGGCAATTTTGCACAGGACTGGTCAGTCATTTTGTAGAATGGCCCTCAGTGTGGGTTTGTTTGATATTTCCCTCATGGTCAAATCAAGGGTAAGCATTTTTGGCAAGAATACCAGAGAAGTAAGGATGTGCCCTTCTCGGCACATCACATCCGGGTACTTAATGTCCCTATGTCTTTATTCACAGCGACGTTACCTTGATTGTGTGACTGAGGTGGTATCTGCTGAGCCTCCTCCCTGTGAAGTTACTCCCTTTCTTTGAGAAGTTAGTCAGTGTCCTCAGGGAGATACTGCCTTGAATTGAAGGACATGCGAGAGCCTCCTAGTCTGTGGAATGAAGGCGCTGGGAACAGAAACCCCCCAGATTGGGCCCCCGCGTAATGCTGCGTGTTTATTTTAGACAAGAGCTAATTGGGGACCGAGGGCCTCTGGACACGCCTGTGAGTCCTCTTTCCTTAGGTAAGGGCATAGAGCCAAAGAGGACGCATAATGGGAACCACCGAGAAAACACCCCAAAAAGGAGGCGGCCTCTTTTTACCTATATTTGTCAAAATTGCTAAAAAGAAAAGAAGCAGTTGTAGATGAGAAGCCGAGGACACCCTGATGTGTGAGGAGGTATTTTCTCTTGGCGGTGGCAGGGACGGCCAGTGTTAGGTTAGAGTGGATTGCTGTATTCTGTCTTTCTAAGGTCAGAGTTCTGGGGAAGCAAGCTCTCTCTAAAGACACACAAGGTTTTGTGGCTTTTTTATACTTAACCAACATTTTATCTCATTCTGAATTTACGGCAGGCCTTTCCTACATCCCCAATCGCTTGCTTGTCCGCCATTAGAGCCTCCTTCGCTGTTCTAAAGGTGAAGTCCTGGAAGACGTTTGTGCTTTCACGGACCACGTGATCTCTTTGGATCCCTGCAGGGATCCTCTCCAGAGCGGAGCAGAGAGTCTTGTTATTCCTGTGCAGGAGGTGAGGACACGGTGGCTTGGGGAGGTTAAGTGAGGTCACAGGGAGTGGGCTGCCATGGTTCAGGGCTCCTTCCCCCCAGGTCACCCACCTGTGCGTTCAAGTGGTGGAAAGAACCGCTTCTGAAGACTTGTTCACCAGCCTGCCTCTTGTTCTGCCCGTCCTGACCTCCCTGTGTAGAGTTAAGTGATTCCTCCTGCTCTCTGTTCCCCTTGGATCTTGGGATGGCCCCAGTTCCAGCACTTACCACATTTCTGAGAACTTTCTGTTCATTTGACTGGCTCTCCCAATAGACCATGAGTCCTAGAAAGGTGGAACCCTGGCTTCCTTCATGACTTTATCCTCTGAGCCTGGCACAGACTAAGACCTTAATAGATTTCTGAGAAATGAATAACTGAAATATGTTTTGGAAGGGTTTTCTCCTAAACCCTAGCACATGAAGGAGAGAAGGAATACAGTATTTATATATATTTATCTATATATCAAGTAAAATTTCAGTGATGACTAGAAAGGAATTCCAAAGCTGTCTTTCTTTAAAGGATGTGAGCAGTGGTTAGAGAGAATGCCAATAATTTAATTTTCTAACTGTTTAAGAAAATGGTTTCCATTCACCGAAATTAAATGAAACATCCTATTAAATCTAAGGGAGCAAAGACTAGCAGACTTGATAGTTTAGGTAAAAATTAAATACTTTTCAGGAGGCAGTACATTTACCATATTCCGTGTCCTTGTTCCCAGTCATTCTACTTCCTTTGCACTGCTACTTAAATCTCAGCCCCTATGAAAATTTGAAAAAAACGGCCATCAGAAAATGACTTCATAATTGATAGTTTTTGTAAGGTTAACAATTTTTTATTCATTAGCTGGATAAAATTCAGCACTCTGACAACCCAGGAATTGTATGCGGGCAACTGTCTTTTAAATGGAGCTTTTATCTTGACAAAAAATCTACTAGGAAATACACTGACAAAAGGTGCTTATCTCTGTGGTACAAACTTGGCTTCCTCTTAATGCCAAATTCATACCACTTTGGAGAATATTTTTTCCCTGCCAGCTCCTGTCTCCTACTCTACTATTTTATCTGTTTTGTTGTGTGTGGACCTAGATTCTAGTTACAAACTTTATTTGCAATAAATAACACCATTTCATAAGCACTTTGAAACTTGGAATCCTCTGATGCCAATATATAATTGTTGCTTTTTGAAGACCTGGCTACTTAAGGAGAGGGTAGGAAGACATGGAGAAAAAAAGAAATGGGAAAAAAAAAAACCCAAAACCTTAGAACTTTCTGTTACGAATTGGTTTTCTCCTTGCCAAGTACAACATCAGTGCCTTTTCTTGGCAGGAAAGCGTCATACGAATGCTCTTGAAACCTTAGCTCTGCAGGAGGGCCTGGTACACCCTGCAGTGTTCTCAGTGCTTGGACAAACAGCCAGCCATTTCGGTTTAGAGACCCAGTAATTTTTGCCTCTTAAAAACTTGAGAGATTTATGGGCCTCTGCCTGGATAATTTAAAATATGGGAGTGGAGCTCCATGTTCTCCATGGTTCATTTCAGTTTCGATAGTGCAGGAGAATTTAAGACCTCATTTTCACTGATTCTAAGAAGTGTTTATGTGATTTTAATCATCTTACATCATTGATCGATGCACTGTGATGCCCTTAGCTTCTTAAAAGTCACCCAAATTTCCTCGGTTTTGTTTAGGTAACATTTTTAAATGAATGGAGGCATATGGAAATAGTATACATAATTATTGCTAACTCTTCTTACCTCTTCTTCCTTATGATACAGACCTACTTTCAAGAAGCTGTACTTTGGCTAGCTTAGCCTGTCTCACCTGTGTCGGCCAAAAGCGCTGTAATGGAGCTTTGAAAAATTTAAAGGCAAAGGAAATCATTACTGATTTCTATGGGGACAAGGGAAATTAAAATTTAACCAGTTTTCTCTTTCTATAGCTATACAAAGATCTGTAATTTTTAAATGAGAATAGAAAATAACATTGGTATATGCACGGATTTGCATGTCACTAATAAGGAGCCTGACTGTTGTCATTATGTTTGCTCAGCCAGCCTTGATGCTTTGGCTGTTAGTACTTACTCATTGGATGAAATTATTGGGTCACTTAAATGTCTGGTTAAAACCACTGACAAAGAAAGACAAAAATACAGAAGTTAGTTTCAAAAAATGCCTAGTATCACCTACAGAATTGTCCATAGGACTCTAATGGGGTATGAGCCTGATCTGTACCAGGCAGCACCCAGCTAAGTGTGATACAGGTTACAGAATGTAACCTGAGGTAGGGTTATCGAAATGATGGGTTCTGTATGTCAAGAAAGAGATGACATAAAAGACTAATTCTAAAGAAGCTTGATGAAGATAAGGGGTTAGTTTCAATTACTTCCAGAAATGGTAAACGGAATATGAAATATGTATGTGGGATATAAACATTCCTGAACCAAGGCACAGACTACCAACTATTTTCCTACCATTAAGCAAGCCCGTTGGAAGCCAGTGAGAGTTAATAATTGTTAGAGAACTTTAAAACCCATTATAAGAAGGTGTACTTCATGTAAAAGCATCCTGAGTCCTGATTGAATATTTCCATAAAGGAAATACTGTCAAAAGGATATTTATGGAAGTAGAGGGTAAGTTTGTATTAGAGGGAAATCTCAAATGTAGAGGAAATCCAGGACTGAACTGGACCACGGGCCAGTGTTGTGCGTGTATCATAGACCTGAACACATATCGAAGGAGAGACATTACAAATGCGTTCTCAGGGAGCTGAGACTGTTAGTCACTAATGATATGGCAAACTTGGGAAAAAAGGTGATAATTGAGATGGGAGGACTAAGAAAGCAGCGAGATTGGTTTTCACCCCATTTAATTTTAGGCTGTGTTGGAATATCTAAATGGAGGTATTCTTCTAGATGCCAAGAATAAGCACTTAAGATACTTCATAGTAAATGCCTTTTTATCCATCTGTCTCCACTAGACTATAAGGTCCTTGAAGTTAAAAACCATGTGGGTTTTGGGCCGGCCGAGTGGCGCGATGGTTAAGAACTGGCTTGGGACACCAGAGGGCCCCGGTTCGGATCCCACATATGAGGGCCAGTGACACTGCCCTCTGCAGCTAAGATGCTGAACAACAGCTCAACCTGGAGCTGGGCTGCTGTGGGTCGCCGGCGACGGCGTGGGCTGCAGCCCCTGTGGCAGTGGGTTGCCATGGGCTACCGTGTGTAGCCAGCAGCCGCAGTGAGCGGCCGTCCAGAAGCCGGCGACTGATCTGCCTCACCCTGGAAGAGCGCAATGATGGTGCCAACTTGGGCCAGTGAAGCAACGTCCTCCACAACTAGACTGAAGAACAAAACGACAGCAACTTGTCTGTTCCCCTTCCCCCAATTCCCCAGCACTGTTCCCATCCCCCAATTCCCCAATAAAAATCTTTAAAAAAAAAAAAAAAGAAATGTTTCCTAAAAAAAAACCACAAAAAAAACATGTGGGTTTTGCTCATCTCTCTATTTTCAGATCTTAAACAAGCCTGTTTTACAGCACACCATGGATGTATATTACTTGAATGAATGAAAAGAGGGGATGAAGGTTAGTGGGTGTAGGAGGGAGTTTGACAGTGGGCTGTCAAGTGGAAGACTCTCTATGGAGTCTTAAACATACATCCAAATTCATTAAATGGAGACAAGAAAAGGAGCATGGAAGGAGGAGAGAATTAGTGCAGAGAAAAACAGAAGTACTGCCAACGAGCTTCTTTGTAATACCTTTACTTTTCTAGCAAGTGCTGACAAGTGTGCTGCGATAATGAGAAATGGTTGGGGCGGTGTTGGTGGCGAAGTCCAGACGCTTAAATTCTTTTTTAGTAGAGGGCCAAGTTAAGCGTTAAACCATGAGCACAGGATGAGAGTAACTGGGTTTTTGTCAGAGAAAGATGGCCCAAGAGAAAGAAAGGCGGCCTTCCATTGGTAGGTTTGAGAGAGTGGAGCAGACTGTGGGGATGAAAGCAAGGGCTTTCCAGGGACAGTAAACATGTTGGAGAAGTTTATGAGCCATGAAATGAGCTAAAGCCAATTGGCTGATGGGTCAGCAGAATTCTTTGGAGAATCTTCGATTTCCTCATACTCTTCCTGTAGTTTCTATTACAACACAATAGCTTTTTGGAATAGAAAAACATAATGTCACTAGACATCCTGCTATTTATTTCCAACTCTCTGAGATCCAGAGGTACCTGGAGGCAGAGAAAGTGTTGGTATCTGTACCCCACACCTACTTTCGCCAGGAAGTCATTGGGCTAGAGGCGGTTGAGATGGGAACAGCAAGTTACCAGGGATGCCTGTGCGTTTTTTCTCACACAAGGATGGAGAAGGGATGAGGAGAAGGGCCAGCATGAAGGGAGAAATTAGTGTCGACAGAGGGAAGCAGTAAGTGTCAATTTGTCATGGAACCAAATTATTTCACTTTTAAAAAAGGAGTCATTATGTTGATATAATAACAGCCTTTTAGTGTGAGTTGTCAACAGATAGTAATAACTTCTAATGAGGCCTGTAAAATAAAACCTTTATGGTACCCATGTGTTTGGGTCGCTGTGATCCATTATACTAACCCTCGTGGTGCTTCTCTCTCGCATTGTGATTTATCCTGTTTAGGGCCTTACTGATTAATTCCTTAGACAATACATTTTAGAATCTAAACTATTATTTTAAGTTGTCATGCTGCTAATTTAACTCTGTTCCTGCTTGCTGTATTTTAGAGAGATGGGGAGAATTTATTATAACAATATAAAATGAAAGAATGAGGGAAGGAGTGTTCCATGGAGGAAAAACAAGGAGAGTAGCCAGTGACTGAGTAGTTGCCAGTTGAATTGTGTTGACAAGTGTGATTTGTGTGAATCCCTTAAGAATGTAACAGGATCATAATAAGAACATAAAAGTAAAGGGTAGCTTGGGATTGGAGAGGTGTGGTTATTAGTATATGTTGAAACGACTGAATCAAAGAAACTCAAGAATCCTTACGATACACAGTTGGCCTTCTACATCCTTGGGTTTCACATCCATGGATTCAGCCAAGCACAGATTGAAAATATCTAAAAAAAACCCAAAAAACAAAAAACAAAACTTTTCCCAGAAAGTTCCAAGAAGCAAAACGTGAATTTGCCAGGTGCCAAGCACTACACTGAATCCACTTGAATGAAGGGCTGTGTAGGCGTGCCTGCTGTAGCCTGCATGAAATGTAGGTTATATGCACATACTGCTCCATTTATATAAAGGACATAAGCATCCACAGATTTGCAAACCTCGGGGAGTCTTGCAACCATTCGCCCGAAGATCTGAGGGATGACTGTATGTATTGAAATCATCTGCTTCAGAAAGCTGAAACTCAAAATAATTCCAGAAAAACCAGACAGAACAGTTCTTTGAAGCTGTCTCCTTTTTACAATTGCTTATTATTGAATTATAGAAATAGTGCTTTGTAGTAATGTCACGAACAGTCATTGTTGACTTGATGCATTCCTTGCTGTTTTGGTATAACCCCTGGTACCTTTTATCCCCCAGGATCCGGTGTTTCTTAAAGGAGCCCCCGAAGTACTAGACTTGCCCCCTTCTCCCCTTTTCTGCTCTGCCTATCATGAGTAGTCAATTGTGCCCTGCTTGTATTTTTAGATCGCAAGTTTTGTGAACAAGTCAGCCATAGACACCTTAATCCTGCAGCGGTCCTTGGCCATTTTGGAGTCCATGGTGCTGAATAGCCATGACCTCTATCAGAAGGTGGCACAGGAGATCACCATCGGCCAACTTATTCCACATCTTCAAGGGTAAGTGTGCTGACGCCACCACTGTGGGGCGGGAACATGTTTCAGCCCCATAAAGCTTTGATTAAATGCACAGAAAAATACTCTTGATTTGGCCTTTATTCAAACCCCCATCATACTGAAATGGCAGTCAGTTGCCTCTTGCTAAGCTCCATGGCTGTTCTTGGTACTGCCCTGGCCCCAGTGCCTGGCCCTTAGTAGGTACTCAATTTTGATCTTCTGTTGGTAGGTAGCCCTAGAGTTTTACTTTTAACAAGACATAATGGAGTCATTTGTTCTCTTAAGTTCTCAACATAGTCTTTCTTGAGTCTTTTAAAACACCGTTTTCTGTGACATAATGAGTATTTTCACAGTCAGTTAAGAATTTTTAAAGGCAGGCATCTTTCTTTAGGCTCAAGGCGATTACAGGAACCTTCTTGTATTTTCTAATGGATGTGTTTTTTTTCCAGAGCTTGAGCTACAAGACAAGGCCCTAGCAGCCTGCAGTCTTTGGGGGCTTTTCCCCTTCTTTCTACCTTAGGGAACTAGTAAGGTTGTCTCTGATGATAGCAGACTGAGAAGGACCCCACTGTACAAAGCTGCTTTATAAATTACACTGTTTTAGGTGCCAACAGACGTCCTAAGCTAGCTTACCCAGAGCAGGGAGTTTACTGAAAGGGATGCTGGGGCACTTTGGAACCCAAGACTGACTTAAGTAGCTAAGCCTTGGGAAGGACAGAAACTCTGGCCTCTGTGGGCTCCTCACAACAGGACTAACTCCAGCCTATCAGCTGGCACTAATGTGACCGGGTTCCCAGAAAGTGCCCCCTGGCCTCTCAGGTCACATTTGTAAATTCTCAAGAGGAAACCTGACTGCCCGCTTGGGTAGGGGGTGCAGGGTAGAGGTGGAGGGAATAGTTCATAGTTCTCAATATACCCAAATGTTAGCTGTTGTGTTTATAACTAAACTACCAAAATGCACTCGACGCTTCTTTCGTTTGGACGGGGGATGATGATTAGAATGTAAAACTTTAAGTCACACATGCTTAGACTGTGGCCTCAGGGAAAATTAACACACCCTCCAAAATTATGATTTTGTGTGAAACATCTCTAGAAATACCAGTTTCACACTTCCCTGAATGTGAAATGCATTATCTTTACAGTCTGTGTCTTTTGTCTGCATCTCAAGGGCAGACTTGTGCATTCAGTGCACTTCACCCAAGTGGAGAGTTTCTTATTTGCCAAGCTCTGTGCTAAGGATTTTATCAATATATACACCACTTCACTTGATCCTAAAAGCAACCTCTTGAAATAAGTGTTCTCACCCAGTGTTACAAATGAGGAACCTAAGTCTTAGGGACATCCCATGAACTTGACCACGGCTGCACAGTGGTGCATGGACTCTGACTTTCATCCCGCCCCAGGCCATGCTCCCAGCCCCGCCCCTCCCTAAATCACTTGTAAAGGGAGCTCTTAGCTGCCCTTTGCTTACACCTGGGATCCTTTTACTACTGTGCTGCTTACCGTGCAGGTCACATTAGAGCTTTGCTTCATTTGGGATTTCTGATTCCATTCCGGTGAAAAGCAAATTTGTAAACTTAAAACTGGCCTCTTTGTTATTGAAATGTTTCTATTTGGAAATAGATTTTTAGACTATGCGATATCACTACCATGAAGACAAAGCTGTTTCCTTTATAAAAGCCCAGGACTGTGGGCACACCCAAGTCTACCCCAGACATACTTCATGCATCAGACAGAAAATTACACACACACACATGCACACATACACATATGCATCCATTCACTGAGCCCATGCTTTTCATCCTAATACAGAAGACAAGGAAAGAGCCAGCTAGCCACGAGTACTTCCTGGGTGATCCTCGCCAAGCAGTGCGCTGTCTGGCTAGCAATAGTAATTCCACGCCCCGCCCCCCTTCCCGACCCCAGCACTGTGTTTCCAGCCTTGTGATGGGCGAAATACATTCTCAGTGCTGACTGCATTTTCCAGGTCCTGCTTTTCTCACCTTTTTTAGGGAGACTATCACGAGCTTCATTGCTGTCTGACTCAGGGGTAGCGTCTTCTGACTGTACATATTTTTTCATGTCTTTACAGGACAGATCAAGAAATCCAGACCTATACCATTGCAGTGATTAATGCACTTTTCTTGAAGGCCCCTGATGAGAGGAGGCAGGTATGTTGCATTTCTTTGGTTTTAAGACTGTGCCTAGGCCTGGCAACTTGTGGTGCAGAGGGAGCCCTCTCCTGCCCATCGCAGGACACGTGGGCCTCCCGGCTGATCTGTGGCTCGGCTGCCCAGCCTGGGATCATTCACACATCCAGTGGGAACTAGGTGGCGATGGGCAAGCCCTTGTCTGAGGAAGGATGAATGCTGGGAACGTTCCAGCAACAGAGAGCCCTTTCATCAAATGAAACCAAGAGAGACGTCCAAAACATAAAACGATGAAAGCCTTGCGGCTGGGGTGGAAATGGAGTTAGAAGCCCCTGCGATCTTCTGTCATTCCATTGGCTGCTCCCTGGGGCAAGTGAGGTGTTGTCCCCATTTTTCTGATGAGGCAGCGGAGACCCTGAGAGGCATCAGTTTTGCCCTGGGAAGTGGGAGGTAATAGAAAGGTGAGACGCAAGAGGCGGAACACACGGATTGCTGCCACTGGCTGAAATAACTGTTCCTATCCCAGAAGGGGCTGATTGTCTCCATAGATTTCTGTTGTCCATTCTGTTGTGGCTGGAGGGGGGGTAGTGAGCAATTCATTTCCCCTCCTCTGTGAAAACAAGAGGGATGAACCCCTTAGAGGTACCTGTGTGAAACCTGTCCTTTGAGACTCCCCTTTGCCTGTAGATCTGTGGTTCTTTTTTAATTTTTTAAATTAGTTTCAGGTGTACAAAGCAACATACTAGTTAGGCATTTACACCCCTCACAACACGATAACTCACCCCTCCCCAATCTACTACTCTTCTGACATCGTCTATAGCTGAAAGGAGTGGAATTTTTTGTCTTGGGATTTAGCTCCTACTTCAAAATCCATTCATGTTTTTGCCCATACACGTAACATGCACCGTGTTGCCTTGGTCCCAGTTCACTTCATTTCAAAACAGCGTGGACATACGAGATGTTTCAACTGCTAGAAAGTGTGCTGGGGTGCTCAAAGACAGTCACCAATACATCATTTTAGGAGAGCTTAGAAAGCTAGCTGCCACTGAACACTGTGTCAAGAATTTCATTTATGTTTTAGTTTATTTTTCTGTCAAGGATTTTAAACCTCAGTGACTAAATGTGAGGGTTCCTGGCTGGCTTTCCACTTAGGATCATTTGCTCATCCCGGGGGCTGCGTGTGTGCATTGCGTGGAGTGACTTGAGAGTTTCCTGCACCTTTGGTTTGGTGCTGGCTGGAGTCAGGAGAGCCTGGCCGTGCTCTAGGCTGGAGTTTTAAGGGTGGCTCTGCCTATCTTAGGGGGATCATCGTTGGTGCTGCTCCTGTATATTTATACCGAAGGGCTGAGCTCATGATAACTCCTAGCAGCCCAGCAAATCGCCTGGCAGCTCTCACATGCATGTGCCTGATGAGGTCATTGGAGAAGCTTGATTGTCCTACGGGCAGACCAAGGGTGCCTGGTCAGAGCACCTGGTAGATGTGTGTAGAGTGAGGGTCGGGAGTTCTGTGTTGCGGTCTGACCTCTCGGGGCATCCCTTTCTCTGTGGAGGAAGAGGTTGGATTAGAGGAAATGAAAGCTCGCGTCCACCCCAAATGCTGTGATTTTGCTCGAATCTCTGGATCTAGGCTCAAAGAGGATGCGGGTACTTTGCCCCTGACTTTTATATCAAGAACTATTGTTAATCTGCCGAATGGGAATTGTGTGACGATGGAGAAACGGGGATTCAGATGCCAGGACAATGACAAAGTGAACAATATAGTGGAATGCCAGTGTAACATTAGGTGTGGATTCTGTGAATCAAATACATATCTTAGGCAATATGAGACTGACCTGGCACAGTTTGGCCATAGCTTGCTATAATAATAATAAATCACAAAGAGTAGCCTAATAACATTAAGCCATTTAAGAAAAACAATTGAACTAAGAAAGACTGTGTATATAATCCAGTGGAAAAATCTAGAATATTACATGACTAGTTTAGTCTTTGAAATAAAGATAGCAACAAGGATCGTTTTTCTTACAGCTATTTGCCATTCTTCATTTTACTATTTTCATGTCAAAAATGCTGGTGAGAGCTCTTCCAAATTTCTCTACGAATATTGATGCTTTTGATAAGCATTTAAAAAATACTTTTTGGTTAAAAGATTTGGGCGGAAAAAATCAGAAAAAAAATAGATTCCAAAGGAAGACATTTTAAAAGCTCCTATGGTTGCATTACTGGGGAGAAAACCACACCCCCTCCCAGCTTTGACTCTCAGGATCTGATGTCCTGCTTTGTTCTATGAAAGTTCGACATACATCATTGGTTCGCCAGACATCATCAGACCACATGCAGTTTTTCTTTTGACTGCTATTAAAAGCAAAAATTTTTGTGGACATCTTTCCATGTCAACATATCTGTATCCTTGTTTATATCTATCTATACTTTTCTTAATGGTATGAAATATTTTCCATGGAATTGTTTACTCAAACAAATCCTAATATTGGACAAAAAAAATTATCTGATGAAGACAAGGACTTTTCTGTTTTCTCTCTGACCAAACTCTTGTTCTTTAAGGAGGGTAGTGGAAAATATTCATGTATTCTTTTATGAAACTCGTATCGTCTACTCCGTGCCAGATATCGTACTCTGGGCTTGGAGTACAAAGAGGAAAAGGACAGTCCCTGTGCCTCTGAGGTGACCAGAATCTTATGCAGAAGATAAATTATGCAAACTGATAATCACAGGAATTGCTGTAGATGTTGGAACTAGGTTGTTCTTTCTCACTTATTTTAAAATTTTATAAATTGATTGGGCTGAAGTAAGCGCAGAGAATATTTTATTTTCTTATGTTGTTTGTGGAGCAATTAGGCAGTAATTTCATGTTTATAAAAGAAAATGCATTAAAAGAACTGTAGAATCCTTTAGACCTTTTGTTTTTCATCTGATCTGAGAAAAAGGCGGGCCTTTCTGTTTCCATCAGGAAGAAAGCACTGCCTCCTATGCATGGTGGGAGGGTAGGTTCCTTCTGCAGTGCTGTGAACTTGGTTCTGAACGTGTCTTTGTCCTCTTGTTTTCAAGAGGACTGAAGAGGACATCATGACATTTGACCTTAATTCCAACCGGTCTTTTCAAAACACCTTACAGTATTCATGTCCTTTTCTTTTTTTTTTTTATTGTTAGTTTCAGGTGTACAGAACAATGCAATAGTTATCCTTTTCACCCTTCAGACAGAAGCAACCCCCCTCCCCCATCTACTGCCCTCCCACCACCGATATCATACTTATCTATTACAATTCCATTGACTCCATTCCCACACTCTACTCCACGTCCCGTGACTATATGTATATATAATTATAGTTGACATACAATGTTATTCAACATCAGCTTCAGAAATACAGTGCAGTGGTCAGGCCTCTACACCGACTATGAAGTGGTCTCCCTAACAAGACATGAGTCCATCTGGCCCCCTAAAAAATATTTACAACATTATTGATTATATTCCTCAGACTGTGTTTTCTATCACTGAGGCCATATTGTAGTTACCAATTTGTATTGTCTCGTCCCTTCCACTTTTCCTTCATCCCCACCCCCTCCCAACCAGCAACCCTCAGTTTTTCCTCTGTCTGAGACTACTTCTGTTTACATTTCTCATTTATTCAGTTTTTTAGAATCCATGTATAAGTGAGATCATATGGTATTTGTCTTTCTCTGACTGACTTATTTCACTTAGCATAATGTTCTCTAGTTCCATCCATATCATTGCAAAGGGTACTATTAAACTATGGTACATTTACACAATGGAGTATTACTCAGCTACAAAGAAGAAGGAAATAGTACTGTTTATGTCCTTTTCAATGCAGTGGGTCAGCAGGGGCTCTAAGCAAACTGTCGCCTCTAACACAGTCCTCTGCATTTCCATCCCTTCTTCTCTCCTGCTGGCTTTCCTTTCTGTGGTGGCGATGACGCTGTTAGGTTGGTGTAGAGAGCACTGTTGACATACTTGATTGTCCTCTGACTGTAAGTCCCCATGTTCCCTCCATCAGCACAAAGCGAGCCCCGCATGTCCATGCTGCCCCCCGTCCAGCCCTGCCTGCGCCTGTGTCCTCCTGCCTCCCCATTTTTGGGGCTCTCCTGGCTTTCTGCAAGTTGATTTTCACCTTGATTGGATTCGTGGCTGTGTTTTTGAAGCGTAGTTTAGTTTCTTCTCTACCCGGTACGAGTAGCAATACTTTAAAGACCACCCCCACCACCAAACATCCACATTCAAGCGTCTTCCTGAATATGAGCAGTATTTTTAATTTTGAATGTTCACAACAGTATCATATGCAACCATTTAATTTTCCCTTAGTGTCTGTTTATCAGCATGTAGAAAGGGCATCTGTGAATCATTTGATTTAATAAAATAATCGTGAGTCCTCTCTGCCAGTCAGGCAGGCCAAAGCACCAAGCATGACTTACAGAAACGAGGTTTAGCCATGCTGGGTGTGGGCTCTAGGACTGGAGCATTTGCCCAGATTTCACTAAAACCCCCTCCGTTCAGCTCACGTGCACAGACTACTTTCAAGCCATGGGTTATGTACTGTTTGCTCTTTGGTTTTACACAGGTTAAGGTGAAATTCAGAAGACTTAGGTCTTTAAAAATAAAGTGGTGTTCCTCTAATGTTGACTCATGGGGCAGGCATATGTTGCCTCATCAAAGCTCTGTGCACATGAGTATTCCAATAAAAGCTGATGAGCCTTTCCCGTGGAGAACCGCCGTTTTCATTGAGAGTGTTTGTGGTTTTTATGCAGCATTCACCTTTTCCTGGAAAGAAGAAATGCCAAAAATAAATAAAAGATATTTAAAAAGTTTGCAGATGCCAGATTTCCTGTCTTTGCTTTTGGACATGGCTTTGTTATCTAAACAGAGCATTCAAAAAATAATTTGAATACCACTGCCTGCTTGAGTCTATTCTTTCAGAAGAAATACTGCTGATATCCAGTTAGGAAGCATACCCCGGGATAAAGTCATTTTGGACCGCGGTGAAATGTATCTTTCTAACGTAAGCTTTTGTGTGGGTTTGTTTGTCTTCAACAGGAGATGGCGAATATTTTGGCTCAGAAGCAACTGCGTTCCATCATTTTAACAGTGAGTACCTACATGCTGCGTCTGCTTTGTTGGGGTGGAATGATCTGCGCATGTCTTTATCTCCTCTTTTGGCTTTAGCTGGGCGGCTTCTTCTGTGACTTGCTTCTGTGGTAAAGCAGTAGGAACTAGAAAGGAGGGAACAATGTGCTTGTGGAATTGGAATAAACAAGGCTTTCCCACAGGAATGGCCTCCTGTGATTGTGGGGGAGGAGTCTTTGGACCCGCTCTAGAAAGAAATGCATCCGGCAGGGAGGGCTGGAAGCCTTTCAGTGGGGCAAGCTGTGATGCTCACCATAGCGATAACTCTGCATTTAAGGGAATCAGGGACTCCATGACTTAAAATGTCTGCGAGTATGAGCTTCTGCTTTTTTTAATGAGGGAGCTAGCTGGAGATGTATCAAACCCTGAGAGAAGTCCTGAAATGTTGATCATCATTTTCCTGGGCCCTTTTGCAAGAGAAAGGCAGAAAAGTCATCCATGGAACCTACTCATTAACTGCAGTGCAAACATGACTAGAAACCTCAGTGTCAAAGAAGCCGTACGTGTTGTGTTGTGAATGTTTAGAAATAAATCAAATAGCAAGGTTTTCTGAGGCCTTATCTGCTACTGGACTTGTAACTGAAGGCTGAAGCAAGCACGTGTTGGTTCCAAATAGCTCTGCAAGCTTACAGTTACACACACACACACACACACACACACACACACACACACACACACACACTCACACACACTCACACACACTCACAAATTCCAACACCATGAGGCCATCAAAAATTAGAAACCTTAGGAGGACAAACAAAATAAATATCCTAGAACCCAAAGCCCATAGTAATCACTACAATTTGTCATCAAGTCTGATTTTAAACTTTCTGGCCGTCAAGGATAAAGAGAAACATATGAGTGTGATTTTCATTGTTTGACTAACGAGGTACCCCGGTTCTTCAGGGATGACATATTCCCCCCCCTCCCCGGGAACTGGAACCTGAATTGGGTGTTGATAGGACATTCTAATAGATTCTAGGCCCAAGAATAGTTTCGTAGAAATCGCAGAAGGATTCATAATATGTTTATTTTTTTATACTGGCTCTCAATACAAGTGGAAGTTGCAACATTAAAGCGTAATTCAGTGAAGGTGTTTGTGAAAGGGGAGGAGAGTAGGGAAATAAAGGATCAGAAGTGTTGAATTAAGGTCAAGGCCTCTGGTTGACATTACCTTGGTGTGGCAGTCAGAGTTAGAATGCCCAGAGATGGGGTGGGCGGAATGACTGCAGCCACCATGTCTCCAAGACCAGTTTGCTTCAGTGGGGCCTCTTTTATGAGACTCTAATGGCCGAAAGTTCAAGATTGGCATTTTCTGGCAAGAACTTTGAGCACAGCCACTTTTGAGCTGCTAATAAAATAGATACCCACATCCTTTAGCACCCATTCACTTTGGATACTAAATATACGCTATGAAGTAACATTCTTTCCTGAAGATTGAAGGCTGTGGGGTTTTATTCTATCCCCCCCATATTGCCTAGCTTCCCACCCCCTCAACCTCCCATCATTTTTGTTCCATGACTTCCTTCTATTCCCTATTCTTCTCTCCATCCTTCCTTCTTTAATTGGCTATTTCAACATGGCACTACCCATAGCCAGGGTGCACAGTTCAGGTGCATGCCAGGTCGGGGGCACCTGGGGAAAGTTCTTTTGGACAGCAAGACATGGTTGGGTCTAGCACATTCAAAATAACTGATTTGAATGGTTGGTGCACCCCATCATCGACGCGACACGTTAAAGACACAACCGTGGTCTCTGCCAGAGAGGATTTACTTAGGCCCAAGAGTTGAATCCCATTTTAGACCCAGCTCTGCGTGGGGCAAAGGCCCACGTATCTAGTCTCCTGCCCCTTCTTTTATGTGTGTTCCCTTTTGGTTCTGTGTCATTAATTGTTAATAGGCGAGTAAAGTAACGCACATGAATTCACTAGCTGTATTGCAGTGGTCCCTACATAGTTTCCACAGTGAATTAACCACAAACCTGATAGGTACTGTGCGTGCGTGTGTGTGTGTGTGTGTGTGTCCCCAAATCTTTCCGCCACTCAGAAGTGGGATCACCCGTCAGAGACAGTTACAGGGTGAGCCGATGGCTAAAATGTGCACTATATATGCGTTGTTTACTCCTCTGCTGTATGGGAGGAATGCTTCTACTGTAGAAATCCGGTCCTCTTCAAGATAGTCTAATGTCAGGCACGCCTTCTCTTGATTGTATATGGCCGCAATCGCCAGTGCATTTCTAGCGCCTCCCATCTTTTCTGCCCCCTGCACCCAGTAGGTCTCTTCCCTGACTTCTGGCCTAAAGATCTAGAACTTCTTGGGCCCTGGAATATAAAGGAAGGCTCCATCACCTCTATTCTCACCTTTTTTCTGAAGGGTAGTTCCACCCTGTCTACATCCCCTGTGTCTGCACATGAAGACTTCTGAGGGTCTACTTGGCATAATCATGAGGGTGAATGTTTCTCATTTGCTTTTCTTTTTCCCCTTTTCTTTTTTAAATTTTCATTTGTGCACCGTCTCCCCAGCATGTCATCCGGGCTCAGCGGGCCATCAACAATGAAATGGCACATCAGCTGTATGTGCTCCAGGTGCTCACCTTCAACCTCCTGGAAGACAGGATGATGACCAAGATGGACCCCCAGGACCAGGTGAGCATGCCCGACAGCAGAGAGAACGTGCCATTAAATGGCTTTCTCTCGGGCTACTCTGAAACCAGGAGTTTTTAGATCATGATAGTATTGTTTTATTATCATCTCAGAACTTGGGGGAATGGATTGAACATTTAGGTGAATCTAGGATCAGAGAATGAACTAATTGGATTGTTTCATTACCCATCAACCACATGCATATTCTTTATTGGATAAGAAAACTTGATATCACATGGCCACAGACCTTGGCTCTTGACCCCAGGGCTCTCAATGGTAGTAGCTTTGGTCAAGTTCCCAGACACCTAGGGCCACTTGGTAGCTCTGTGTGATATTGATTTTGCAGTTTGAGGAAGTGAATTCCATTCTCCAGTGATCAGTGCCAAAGGTGGGGGGCCCTCAGGTCATCCCTGATTTCTGCGCTTGCATGTGTCAGTTGGTTATTTGCCATAATTGTCTCTAGGTCTTTGGCTGCTGTGCATGAAAGGTTATGTCTCCATCCAAATGGCTTTTGGAGAACTTTACTGTGTGAGGACAGAGGGAGGGGAAACAGCTGGGAGCCCTGCCGTAGCATATTTTCAACTTACACAGCGCTGCAGCTCTGGAAAGGAAAACACTCATTATTGGCACGTGAGGGCCTGATCTATCACAGATGTGAACTGCACATGTGACGTGTGGAACTGCCGCAGCACTTCATTCATGGCGTGAGGCCATGCGACTCAGAGTGATGAGGAGGCTTTGAGAGGCCATCTAACGTGCCCCAGACTCTTGGCAAGGCCAAGTGCAATCATCCCAGAGAGATGAGGCTGTCATCTTACCACTTCTGGTGGAGGAAGGCAATGCATCTTAATGGGAACAGCCCTCTCTGCCTGGAAGCCCGCCCTTTTATTTATTAAAAAAATTTTTTTTCCTTATTGTGGTTAAATACCCATAAAATAAAATTTACCATTGTAGCCATTTTTAAGGGTTTGTTTCTGTGAGGGTACCTCTCAGTGGAGCACCCCCATATCCCCAGACTTGGCTTTCTCTCATCACAAGCCCCTATTTAGATCTTCACCAGACAATTGGTGTTAAGTATTCCAGCTGACTTGGCCATGAGCATACTCGTGGAATTAAGCCAGGGCTGATGCGCAGGGAGAATGACAGGACAAGGAGGGGTGTGCGGAGTCTTAAGTTAGAACATTGGATGCCTTTTATCTGTTTTTCTTTTGCCTGAATTCAGTGATTCACGTAGACCCTGGGGAAAGAGGGAGTGTGTGTCATGCCACACAATGAAAGCAGCTCTCTCCTCCTTTTCTCCCTAACGCCTTCAGGCTCAGAGGGACATCATATTTGAACTTCGAAGAATTGCTTTTGATGCGGAGTCTGAACCAAATACCAGCAGTGGCAGCATGGAGAAACGCAAGTCCATGTACACCCGGGATTATAAGAAACTTGGCTTCATTGTAAGTAAGCCGTCCCCAGTAAGCCCTCTCCTTCCAGCATCCTGGGGCTGACCTCAGCCGCATAACTCACGTCTCCTCCGAGCGTGTGGTCTGCTTGTGCCTTACAGAATCGTTTTCACATTTTCCAGATGTTTAGCTCGTTTAAACAGGATCACATGAAAATCTCTTCTGGCTGCAGTGAAATGGAATAACTTGCACAAGTGTGACTAATACTGTGTTTGTTTATTCTGCTCTGATTAAGTGTAACCAAAAGCAGTTAGCCCGGGATGCATCTAGACTTTATTCAGTGTACTTCACAAGATGCTTAAGGATGTATTTGAATGAAGTGGGGAGGGTGGCAACTGTGGGATGGCTCTGAGTATTGAGTTTGGTGATTGGATTCCTTATATACATCGATTTCATATAAAAATCGACTTGAAATTTAGCCACAATGAGATTTATGCAACATACATTTTCGTAAAAGTTTCACCCTGCTATGAATGCTAATATGATGTCTTCTAGATTTTCTTTTTTTTTCAGTTTGCAAGTCAGAACACAGCTTGTCCTAAATATAATCTGTTTCATTCTGGCCTTTACCACTGTCACATTTCCATGTGACCTTGGGCAAATTAAGCTCAAATTATGCAGGTGTAAAATTGGGTTTCCATTTTAACCTTCATCATAAACAACAGAAGTGAGATTTAGGCTTTAGTAATTATAAATTACCAGGCCTTATTTTATAATTGTAAATACTATCTCCTTGAACACACACACAAATATTAAATTTGTACACATTAAAGTCGTGCTTTAGGCGTTATTTGGGAGACCCTGTCTTTGAAGAGAATTGTCTTTGAAAATGTTTCCACATCAGTTAACATGTACTGTTTTTCATTACTGAGTTTTTCATTATTTGCATGTACTACAGTTTATTTAACCAAGCCCTTTTGCTGAGTGTTTCAATGTTTTGAAATCATTAAGATTATGATTAACATCTCCACTATCGTTTTGTGCATGTCCATGATAATGATATGAAGATTAATTTGTGGAACTGTCACTTCTGTGGCATATAGTTTTAAGGCTTTTGATATTACCAAATTGCTTCCCACAAGCATTGAGTATTTTTCACTTGCAGTGGATCAGAGTGACTATGTTTTCGAACCTGTCCAATAATGTTTCTTAAACAAACAAAAGATCTGACAATCTGATGAGTCATTGTTTATATAGTGGTCATCTTAGCATGTCTTTTCTAATAAGAATTCTTGTCAAACATTGTATTTAGCTTTGCAACGTGCTTTGCTGAGGCACTGTGACAGCATTTTTATACCCCCATATCTTATATTTTGACTATGACATTCCATTTGATCTTTTAGTTGGCTTTATTTAAAAAAAAATTTTTTTTAGCAAACAGTTTCATGAGTGACCGGGCAGGTGCGAGTTCCCTGTGTTTGACACGTGTCTGTGATGCATTCAGGCACGTGGGCGGCACTGGCCCCGCCCTCACCCGTTTCCTAGGGATTTAGCCAAGAGGGTGTGGATGGAGCTCACATCCCACCTCACTCCCTGCCCCTTCCAGGTTTCACTTTTGTGTGTTGAGTGAGGCATCTCCAAATCACCTGGGAAGCATTGCAAACTCACCCAGCCTCTTACCCTTAAGTCCTATCAGAGTGGCCAGGGCACGTGCATTGGGGAACGCTCCCCATTCATTCCCATTGCCCTGAAGGAGAGCGTGATGTAGTGTGCACCTGAATTACTGCCATTTCATCTTCCTCTTTCAGCTACTACCTGGATTTCCGGTGTATTCGAACTGCGTGTAGGAAACGCAAAACCCTAGCTCTTTACACCTACTGCCCCCTTCCCCTGGAACTCATTGTCTGTCTGTCCCCAGTCCTGGAGGTTTTTGTCCAGGGCAGTTGGATCCCAGAATGCACCGTGCCATTCCTGGCCATGTGTGTGAGGGCAACTGGGGGAAAAACACTTGGTGGGACTCAGATTACCCCAGGTCTCCAGGAAGGGTCTTCCTGCAGAGGTGGGAGGTATGGAGCATGTGCCTTTGTATTTTCATGCTCTGGTGCTCTGTGAGATCGCCAGCGTATTCCATGAGGCAAACGCTGAGTGATTTTTCTCAATGTAGCTCCATGTGTCTTAACATGTTGTTAGTTCCTGCTACAGTTTAGTGGTCGAGTATAGCTGTCTTTATTTTCAGTGTCAGCCGAGTGTTCTGTTTCATGAGTACTTCAAGGCAAACAATGCATTTTTTAAAACTGAAAGTTAATTTGATGTGGTTTGAAGGCCTTTACCGCTTATGTGGCCTCCTCTCTAAGGGCTTGAAAAGTCATTTCAGAAAAAGCAAAGACCTTGGACAGAGAATAACGGAGACGCAGTGTTGGCTTCCCTTATTTTTCCATGTTCTTTTTTTTAGTTTTAATTCTAGTCCTTCCTCCGAAACTTCGCCCAGGCCATGCTTTTCCATCAGAGAATTGAGAAACTGTAAAGATTAGTTAGGAATGATTCTTAGTGCTAGAAGTGATCCAACAGCTCTGACAAATAGAGACTTCTGCTTTTGAATATCCAGGAAGCCAGAAATAGACAAGCCTCAGTCTTGGGAATCACGCGCTTACTGCGCCACCTAGAGGCCGTTGTGCAAAAGCGCTGAAAGCCGGCCGTGTACATCCAGTGTCTGTCTGTCCACAGAAGCTCTAGATGCAGCAAACCATCCTGATGCAGGACTGGCTCTGTGCTTTCAAAAGACGAATGGTCTTGCCTGTTGACTCCTTCAGGAGCAATCTGGGATTTGGATACTCTTTGGGATCTCTTTGAAGGAAAAGTTTGATTCATAAGATGAAGATTGCGGTTTCTCATTTCCCGTCTCCCGAGTAGGTAGTGTCCAGGAAGTGTGAAATGACACGTTTTTGGAGTTGAATGGGCCTAGAGTTTAATGCCACCTTTCCTACTTACAAGCCGTGGGCCAGGGGGCCAGTTATTTAACCAATGTGAGCATCACTTCTCTCACTTGTGAAACTGGGCAGGTATCCTTCTTGTTTCGAAGTTGTTAGAGGGCCCTGCCTGGAGTGGAGGACGCACCCAGAAGATGGTACTTCCTTTCCTTGCTCTTTGGAGCGCCCATATCATGGAAATCATAGGCAGCTTTAAGAAAGTTTCCAAAGTAGAAGAGGCTGTTGCTCCAACAAGGCAAGAAGAACAGTTTGTTAAAGGATAATAAGCTCAATTCTTTTGGGAAGGCAGATGGACCTCTCATTCCTTTTCAGCACAGTATCCCCACCGAGCAGGGTTTTTCTTTTTTTTTCTTTTTTTTTTTTTCCTGATGAAATAATTCTAGAATATCAATCTAAAATGGCTAGATGGCTTGTGTGGCTAGTCATAACACAGAAAAGCACCTGCTTTTAAAACAAAGCTGCTAATCTCCTACGATCTCTTAGTTAATGATTCTCTAGTGTCACTGTGGACCTGACTTTGTAGTCCCCTGGCTGGAGGAGGGGGTTAGCGTTGTCTGGGATATTAATATTACTTTTATCGGAACTCTAAGGAAGCGTGCATTTATTTTTCCAGGTGATAGAAGGCAGACTCTCATTTTTAGAATGACTTTATTTTGAAATCAGAAAATGCCTATATACAAATTATACCCTGTTGGTTATAATGACCAAGAACTGTGCAAGATGATTTTTATATTCTGTGAAGAGCTGTGTTTCTGAATACCTTTCAGAACTTCTCTCTCTTGATGTTGAAGTGATAGCTTCTCTGTTTGTGAATTTCACCTTAGCCCAGTCTATTGGACAAACATTAAAAAGGAGATGTCTATACAGGTATCCCTCAGAGTTATGCAAGTTCTGTTCCAGACGACCGAAATAAAGTGAACATTGCAGAAAAGGGAATTACATGATTTTTTTTGGTTTCCCAGAGCATATAAATGTTTTGTTTACACTATTAAGTGTGTAATAACATGATGTCTAAAAAATGCATACTTTAATTAAAGAATACCCCATTGCTAAAAAATGCTAACCATTATCTGAGCCTTCAGCAAATCATAATAATCTTTTTGCTGGTGGGGAGTCTTGCATTGATATTGATGGCTGCTGACTGATCAGGGCGGTGGTCGCTGAAGTTTGGGGTGACTGTGGCAGCTTTTAAAAATAAGACAACAATGAGGTCTGCCACATTGAATGACCCTTCCTTTCATGAATGGTTTCTCTGTAGCATGCAATGCTCTTTGATAGCATTTACCCAAGAAGTTCTTTGAAAATTGGAGTCAGTCCTCTCAAGCTCTGTTGCTGCTTTATCTGGATATAAAGTTTATATAATATTCTAAATCCTTTGTTGTCATTTTAAAAATCTTCACCAGGAGTAGAGTTCATGCTAAGGAACTACTTTCTTTGCTCATCTATAAAAACCACTACTTCTCATCCATCAAGGTTTTATCAGGAGATTGCAGCAATTCAGTCATGTCTTCAGGCCCCACTTCTAATTCTGGTTCTCATGCTGTTTCTACCATGTCTGCAGTTACTTCCTCCACTAATGTCTTGTACCCTCCAAATCATCCATGAGGGTTAGAAGCAACTTCTTCCAAACTATTTTGACCTCTTCCCAGAAGGTTTCCAATTTACTTTGCCCAGATCCATCAGAGGAAACACTATATATGGAGCTGTAGCCTTATAAAATGTATTTCTTAAATAATAAGACTTAAAAGTCGAAATTACTATTCAGTCTGTGGGCTACAGAATGGATGTTGTCTTAGCAGGCATGAAAACATTAAACTCGTGACACATCTCCATCAGAGCTCTTGGGTGATTGGGTACATCGTCAAGAGTGGTAATATTTTAAAAGGAATCCTTTCTTAGCAGTAGATCTCAACAATGGGCTTAAAATATTCGATCAACCATATTATAAAAGAGATGTGCTGTCATCTAGGCTTTCTTGTTCCATCTATAGAGCACAGACAGAGTAAGTTTAGCATAATTTGTAAGGGCCCTAGGATTTTCAGAATGGTAAATGAGCATTGGCTTCAA